CAGCAACTTCAAACAGATTTTTTTTCTTTCAGAGCCAATTCACTTGCAGTGTAGGCTGATAAAGCAGTATTAATCTCCTGCTTTAAATCAAGTTTCTGTCACTGGGCTCCATTAATCTCCACCCTGTTATCAAGTGTCTCCATGGCAGGAAATTATATTTCTAAATTGAATTTTGCTCTGTTTCGATGTAGTAAGAAATATTTTCCAGACTACTAATAGGATGCATAAAGATTGTGACTCTGACAATACTGTTAGACAAATAAAAGCTATAAATTAAAACCACCTTCATTCACTAACCAGCATAATAGCAAAATAGAAAGCATTGATTACCTGGAAAGAGTAATCAAATAAAAGATTTTAAATGAAAAGTGAGGTAGCAGATGGTTAACTTTTTAATTTACCTTTTTATAGCAATTGCCCATAAAGGTAAAAAGAAGAAAAAAAAATCAATCCAATGAGTCTCCCAGTGCTAATAAAACACATATTGATTCTTAGTGCATATGCTTACTCTACAAGATGCTACAACTTGGTTCTTCCACCCGTAATGGAAGCAGATACTGTTTATGAGCACTTCAGTGGAGATATATGAAAGAAATATCTCTTTGGATATATGAAAGAAAGAAGTATCTCTGGACTAAATTTATTACCAAAGAACAAAAACTTATAACCTCAAGCAACAAAGAGATTTCATTTTATTGGTTGGGATCCACTCACAGGAGGCCAGGACAATTCAGTCAAATGCAGTTCAGTCACTGGAAAAGGTCTTCAAAATTACAGTCTCATTTTTTGTTGGTGAACAAATACAGTGATTCCACTAAAGTTTAGATTTTTTTTTTCATCAATATAAATTACTTTGTATTGCTTGCTTTAACACAGGTCTAGGTTCTCCTTGACAGTAACAATGTGAGGAAAGTCTCTTCAAGATGCTACTGAAAGGATAGTCCCAAGGTGGTCCATTTAAAACTTCCCATATTTAAAGGAACACTGCATGAAAAAGGGGCTTCCTTCATGGCTTAGATGGTAAAGAATCTGCCTGCAAAGCAGGAAACCCGAGTTTGATCCCTGGGTTGGGATGATCCCTTGGAGAAGGGAATAGCTACCCACTCTAGAAGTCTTGCCTGGAGAATCCCATGGACAGAGGAGCCTGACAAGCTACAGTCCACAGGGTCGCAAAGAGTTGACATGACTGAGCAACTAACACTCTCACTTTTCACTTACATGAAAGAAGGTTTTCCTTAGGTATCAGTGTAAGGAGCTTGTGGAACAAGTAATGAATGCTACCTATACCAAAATGCTTGAAGGATAAGTAGGATTTAACAAATGTACAAAGGAATGGTTGGAATGTTTTCCAGACAGAATAGAGATGAATGTATACCAGCACCTCTTTCCCACTCTGAAGCATGGGAAATAGATAAGATATTCAGACAAAATCACATCTACATTCTTTAAATTCAAATTCGGAATATCTCAAACAATTATCATGGTAGGCTTAAACCACTGAAACATACTATCTTCATTAGCTTAAGTATTTTGAAGCTCCTTTAGATTAAACACATAAAGGTGACTTCTAATGGGTAAAGAATAATAATTTGAAGTCACAGGTCTTAAATTTTACAAAAGTAAAACTAAGAATCTGATGAAAATTATAAAGCATACCTTCAAAGTAAGTATTAACTAGAACTGGAAAGCTAACTGAAATGGAATAAATTACTTTCAGAAGAGAAAGAAATACAATATGTTCTTTTTTTACATAAATAAAAGCAGGTGGTAAAGGGGAAGCCAGCATTTGAAAAACATACATCTTCCTCCTTTATCCTTTGAGTGGATCTCACCTATATGTGTGAAAAAGAAACTCCAGCATCACAAAGCAGAGATCATAAGTCACATTCCCTAAGAACAACCAACTGGTAATGGTAAGTTTGAAACCGTGTGAAGCTTATCTATCATTATTATTATTATTATTGTCATTTAATATAATTTTGACTAGCAAGCAGACAATAACATGCTGCCCGGAGGAATGGCAACAAGAGAACAACAATCATTACTTTTTTATATGCTGAAATTTGATAATATATTTTGCATAAACAACACCACCAGATGTCTAGCCTCTGGACTCACTTTTTATCAGAAAGGTCAGCCATCTCATCAAGTGTGATATACATTTCAAACATTAATCTAATGCTCCATTTAATGCCAAAAGGTTTGGTGGGGTCCCACATGGAATTAATTTATGATCCTGAAAGCTAGTTTAGGACATTCTCAATTTTAAGCTAAGTCCAGCTGCCACAAAAAGGTTGCTTCACACATGAAGTGTACTTGCTAGTGGCTAATCTTCAGAAGCATCTCACAGTCATCTACCAGCACATAAAAAGCATACTTCAATCGCTTATTCATTAAGGGGGGAAATCGATAGCACCTACAGAGTACAACACACAAGGGAGAAAAAGCACTTCAGTGTTTCAGTAAGGGGGTCTCATCACATTTTTAAAAATTTTCTAGCATCAGGCATTCTCCTGGGCTGATTGTTCAAGATTTTCATTTTCACCATTAAATGGTTCCACAGTTCTATATGCAAGGCAGCAAAAGAGACACAGATGTAAAGAACAGACTTTTGGACTCTGGGAGAAACTGAGGGTGGGATGATTTGAGAGAATAGCGCTGAAACATATATATTACCGTATTTAAAACAAAACCAGTGCAAGTTCGATGCATGAAGCAGGACACTCAAGGCCGGTGCTCTGGGACAATCCAGAGGGATGGGGTGGGGAGGGAGGTGGGGTGACATTCAGGATGGTGGGGCACATGTGCACCCATGGCTGATTCATGTCGATGTATGGCAAAAACCACCACAAGATTGTAATTATACTGCAATTAAATTAATTAATTTTAAAAAATAAAAGGACTGCCTTATTTGGCAAAACATATTTAGACACCCAGTCATGCTGGTTCAAAGCCTTCTAGTTCTAAATATTTATAGGTAGAAAAGAGAAAAGTTAGGTGCCTACTTCACCTTGCCTTTCCCTGAAATTTGTAAAAGACTGACCACACACCAGAATGACAAGATGTGGTCAGAGGCTTCATTCTTCTGCTGTGAGACAAAGTCCCCAGGAAGGAAATCTCAAGTAAGAAAGGAATCGGGAAACCAAGGACTATGCCAGTCATCTGTAAAGAGCTCAAACCACTTTTGAGCACAAAATGCTCAAGCCAGCACTTTTTCTGAACAAAAAAAATCAAATCCCATTATCAGTAAGAAGAAAAAGATCACAAAGGATATTCTATCTCTAGCTGCCAAAAAAAAAGCACCCATTCTCAGTTTTTAAAATGCATCTTTAGTCACTTGCAAATATAGTATTAAATATATTGAGAGTTTTAAATATACTGCTTTGCATAATGGTCCTGGATTTTCTATGGCATGTGGCCTAGGCCATGTACCTTGAATGTCAAAGTGCCCAGGATGCTTCTTTATGAGAGCTTCTCTTCCAGAAGATACTAATCCTTAAAACTTGAACTGAGTAGGAGAAGAGATGCTTAATTTTAAAGCATTTTGTCAAGTTCTAGCTGAGTAAAGGGGACAACTCCCAGGGCTAACATAAAGTGTCTTTGAAGATCCAACTTTATAAGCTACTGGCTCATCGAGTGTGAAAGCTTAAAGAGGGAAGAAAGTTCACTGATATAGCTTGTTAATACCAATCTGGCTCCAAATAGCCAAAATTTATATTAAAAGGCTACAGCTGATAACTTTTTTCTTGTGTGTGTCAGTGTTAAGGTCTAGCAAGACCATCTTCTAGAACTCCTTCAATTATATTCTTTAGCTAAATCCATCACCAATTTATAGCAAGCTGAGGACAAAGCAGGATATAATCAAACTAAAACAGCAGGGTCTCTGACTTTAACAGAGTTTTAAGAGTTTTTAATTCATTGCTGCTATTTAAAAATTTGAAGATTCCCCATAAATTTCCAGATTTCCGTTATTTTTTTTTAATTGGAAGATCCAGCATCACTAGGCCCTCAGTTCAGTCTAGCGATAATTGACTGGCACTGACTGGCTCTGAGTGGCCGCTGTGTAATTCCTGGGCCAGATAATCTCCAAAACCTTTCCAGGAACAAAATTCTGAGTGTCTAAAATATGACTGTAGAAAGTTTGTTAAATTTTTCCATTCAGATTGCATTAGCAAAATAGCACTTCAAAAAGTGTGAAACTCAGGACACATCTTTGAACTTAAAACGAATTCCAGAATTGTTTATTTAAAATGACTGGGTGGTTCCTCTTAAACTAATCAGCATTACCATGGCAACAATATATCAACAGTAGGGTGAAACTAACCTGTTTCTCCACAGTGAAATTCCAGCTCACATTCTCTATTCCGGTGAACAATCTGACCGTTGATGAATTGTGCTTCACAGTGATAAGAGCCAACATCGAGAATGGAAGAGCAGCATCGCTATGAATACTTGGCTGCCCCAAGTCAGTTATGCCTCTGGTAACTCTTCTGACATCTCCTACTTAAAATGCAAAAGGTCAGCAGGATCACGAGGCTCCACTTTCATGGTCTGTATTCATATGGAATATCAAGATGGATCAAGGGAGCTTTTGCCCCTCTTCCCTACAGAAGGTTTTGGTCCTCCCAGAGGAGCCTAGTGGGCTCCAGTCCATAGGGTCGCAAAGAGTTGGACTCGACTGAAGCGACTTAATATGCACCCATGCCAAGCTCACCTTAGGATATCTGTGTACTGTTTAACAGGTCTACTGCCCCAGGCTGGAGCAGCCTGCTGGCCCCAGCACCTATGTGCTTGTTGAAAGAGATGTTGTGTTGTGGGAGTTCAGTCCTAGTTACTTGATCATGTCTACGAGAGCTGAGGCATCATCTTTGCCCAGGTTAATCTGCTCCAGACCCACGACCTTGAACTGCAGTCTCTCGAAGATCTTTTTCAGGGCCCAGTAGGTTTCACAGTTGAGCTTTTGAACCTCCTCCTGAAGCTCCTTGGACCAGAGGAAATTCATGGCCAGTGGTGAGGAGGGGCAAGGGGAGGTGATGGAGATGGATCAGGCCAGGGCTGATGCTGCCAAAGAGGAGGAGGCCGCCCAGAATACGATGCCCATTCCTATGGGACCTGATACAGACGACCGCACTGCACTGTGCATGACCAGTCTGGCCACATCCCATCCAGCAGCCCCAGGCTGGCTGAACCTAGAGAGACAGCTCCACTGCACCCCACCTGAGTCAGCTCATGTGGCATATGTGTGCCCTTATCGCCATGATGGTGTGGAGCATCACCCACCAGGGCTGGATGACCTTTGCGCTGCTGTTCTGGGCCTGCGGCATCCAGACAGGGCTGCAGCTCCTATCAGCTGGCGGTATTCTGCTTCCCCTTCATCCTGCTTTTACCGGCTTGTGCCACGTGTGGGCCACATGTCTGCCCCGCCCCCCGGGGCCCCGCAGCCTGTGCCTCTACGGCGGGGCTGGAGCTCACGCACTGCCGCTGCCTGGACCTGGGCGCCGATGCCGCACACTCTGACCTTCTAGCTCCTGCTGTGCTGGTTTAGTCCACGAGCAGCTGCTGAAGAAGGTGAAGGCTGTCAATGCAGCGACTGAGGTCATCGCAGCAGACAGAGCTACGAAGTCACATGATTCTCCAGAGCCTGCGGGGAGCAGCTCGCAGACATTCGGTCACAGAAAGGCTCTGTCACAGCAAGACTCTGCCTCTCGCTCTTCCAGGTCTACCACACACGTGTGGTGAAAGCCGCTCAAAGCGTTCTGGGAGCTGGAGGGGCCTACACGACGCTGGCATTCACCGCGGTCTTCACCTTCCAGGGCCGGGATCTGCCCATGAGGGAGCACACCTGTGCCGAGAGGGGCCGGGCCAGCCATGGCCCCGTCCAGGGACCGAGAGTCCGGGAGCCTGGGCCCGACAGCCCGGGGGGCTCCCCTGCCACAGAGAGAGCGGTGGCGGCTCTGACTGGACCCTGCCACAGCCATCCACTCCTGGACCCGCTTCCTTTTCGAGTCCAGAGGACAAAGCCCAGGCCGAGAACCCCAGGCCGTGGGCACAGAGCACCCTCCAGAGGGACTGCCCACGTTGGGTAACCATGGCCCATTAGGTGCGGAGCCGGCCGGAGCCAGGAGGTGGAGGCGGCGACGGTACCAGGGCCCAGGGTGGCCGGCCACTGGCACCTGGAGTAGCGAGTGCCGAGCGCTAGGCTCGCAGCTGGCGTGCGGGGCCCGCGCTGGCAGAGACTGGCCGCCGCCCTGCAGGTGACGGCCGGCCGTGGAGCTGCGCAGCGCCCTCTCGCGGTAAGAGGTGCACCTGGCCGGGTGTGAACGAATGACGCTCAGGGCCCCTGGAGGCCTGCGATGCCCTGAACACAGCGCCCAGAGGCCCGGGGGCCAAGGAGCTCCAGAGCACCTGCTCCATCCCTGCGGCACCAGCAGCAGCGCGGGGGAGAGGGTGGCCCACCCCTGGGCTTTCCGCGGCTTCCAGAAGCCTCCAGCCCCACGCTAGCACCGGGACTTCCTCGGCCTCCCGGGGCTCCTCCCCGCAGGGCGCCTGTGTATCCGGAGCCGGCGGAGTCCAGGTGGCGGACGGACTGGACGCGCAGGGCTGGGGCTGCCTGCGGCTGCTGCAGGCGGCCCAGTGTGTCCAGAACTGCTCTGCTTCTTGGTCCTTGTCGCCCAACACGTGGCCACCTTCTCCCCAGACTCAGTGAATGTCTTGTTCTGTCTACTCAGCGGCCCTCAGCTGCACCCCCGGTTTTTAGTATTTCAGATCCCACAGGGGAGGGATTGAGGTTCTTCTGATGTGGTTGGAGATTGTAGGCCGATTGCCGGCTGTCAGGTTCCGCTGGGGAAGCACTAGCCAGAAGCGACCAGTAGCCTGTTAGAGCCCATCTTGCTCCCTCTCGTCTCTGTGTGAGTGACATTGTTGGTCCATCCAGTACTTGACTGTGTTGTGTTTCCCTTGACGACTCGGATACCACGATGCAGTGGGCAGAGCGTTTAGATTCATCTTCCTGGTGACTGGCACTGTGATGGTCTTTGCTATCCTCCATGCAGGTGGAGTCATTGATTCCTGATACTTGGGTTTCTTTGGGATGATGAAAATGGTCTAAACTCAGGTCATCATGATGGTCACGCAAATGGACAAAAGATACTAATAGATGAACATGGTAATGATGCTGTTTGTTGACAAAAATTCACTACAAATTCACTAAAATTAAAACTGTATAACCAAGGCTTTCTGCAGCCTAGGTCCAAGTGAGGATTATACTCTCAGGGACTTCAACTCCTAAGAGAGTAGACAGGAGCCCATCAAGCCAGGCTTCTCATCTCCTCCTCCTCTCCATCCCCTTCCATATTTAAAGAGATCAAGGATCCTAAATATAAGAGAGCTGTGATAAAAGGGCTGCTGTGTATGAAACTTTCTTCTTACTCACTCTTGTTTCAGGACTCTGTTTTGCTGATTCACCAGAGATAGAGTGGATGTCAGCTTAATGTCATCTCAACCTCTTTTTTTATCTACAGCTAACTCAGGCTAGGGATATAATTTCAGACATCAGGCTTAAATTTCACTTAAGTCAGACATTCCACTCACGTTTTAAAAGATGATTTAAATCTTAGCATACCACTGTTTCTTCTTCTTGATAGTATTGTTTCTTCTATTAAATTCTGCGGTATGTTCAGAAAGGGGGAATTGTGAGACACCTGCGTATATCTCAAAATACTTTCCATTGTTCAACCAGAAGGTGGGTCCTTCCTCCTCCAGTCCTAACAGTGGTCAGCGTTGTACAAATGTGATCAGAGTAGTACCTCACACATCTGTCACCACCTTCACAGTACATTGGGCACGGATAAAGTTGCTATTAAAAGCAATGTACCCTTCCCTCCCTCGCATATGCCTAGGGTCACTTTTGTTTGGCATTTACACTCCTTCACATTATTACAAAACCATACCCCAGAGTATTGCTAACTCAGTTTTCTCTTCACTACAGTGGATGCAATTTTCACATCAAGGTGTTTCTATAGACTGGACACAGTTAGAGTTCAGCTACTTGTAGCCAAAGTGTTTAAATTTGACTAGACAGCAGCAATTGCTTTTTAATCTAAGCAAACTGATCTGTCAAAGGCAATCAACTCAGGGAAGTTATTCCTGGAGGATCCTAATAATCCCGATGAATCACACTGCCCTCTGTGACACTCAGCTGCTGAACCCTTGACATGGTGCGTCACAAGTACTTAGAGGAATAAGCGCAGACAGCAGAACTCTGTGTTGACACACAAGCCCTAGCCTCTTGTGCATGGGTTAGTGATCACTGCTTTGGGTCTGGTGGAGGAGGACACTCCTGTGTGTGGTGATGTCAGTTCATGCTTAATGATATAACATCCACCAGGCTTCATGTCATATAACCCACTATCCTCACAAGCACCTACCAACGGTGTGCTCCATTCCTCAAGATGTTTGCACTGGTGCTTTTAATCTTTTAAACAAGGGTTCCCACACTCTTAATAATGCTCGTACCAATTTAGGGCTTTACAGTTATCAAGATCTTTAAGTACTTTTTTCTTGTTTAATTATCATATCACAGCGCTGAGAGGTCGGTAGAGATGGTAGCATCATTTACATCATTAGCAAACTCCCAGGGCTGAAACTCAAACCTAGATCTGATGACCTCAAGTTTTGAGGTCTTCCCAATGCTGGAAATCTTGTTACTGGAGCTTTAGTTCTAGTGTCAGTCTAGAGTAGCTGGGTTAAGGGGGGATAGCAGTGTTGAGGGTCCTATTCCTGAGTAGGGAGGCACTGTCCGAGTCCCTCTGCTCCCTACAGAGAACCCTTCCACACTTTCAAAAAAGAAACAGCAGATGTGGAGGCAGCAGTAAATGTGTGGGTTTAGGTATAGGGCAGTGCTGAAAATTCTCAAATTCTCCCTAAGTGATGGGACAAGTATTCTTTGAGAATGACTTCTGCTTATTAACAGTTGGAAGAGAGCTTTAAGAAAAATATTGACACGTAGTTTAAAGGGCAATGAAAGAGTAGATTGGCTAGAAGGTATATGAATGAATGGTCAAAATAAGAGTTAGGGAGTTCCCTTGTGGCCTAGTGGTTTAGACTCAGCACTTCCATTGCCGGGGCCCAGGTTCAATCCTTAGATGAGGAACTGAGATTCTGCAAACCACGCGGCAGGGCCAAAAATAACTAATGTATATCAAGCACTTAATATTTTCCATTATCCTAAATGCTCTATGTTAGTTATTAAATTCTCATCATGGCTACATTAAATAGGTACTGTTCTTCTGATGAGAAGACTGAGGCAACAAGAGGCTGATTAACTTACCTGTGACCACACAGCTAGCAAATATTAAAAATAAGATTCCAGCCTAGGCAAACTGAATCTCTCACTTGTGCTCCGGTTACTGTGTGGCAGTAATGATGAATTAGGGAAGACTTCCTGAATTCTGAGAAATTTCATTAATTTTTCTTACTAAAATCAATAATAAATATTTTCATGTCAGGTCATAGTACAGCATAGATTGTCAGTCCAGCTTACCATCTCACTGAAAAACACCCAAAATTGATACATAAACTCAAATTAAAAAAAAAAAAAAATTAACATGCTAACAAGCTGGCAGGAAAAGTAAAAAACACTGAGGTGCTTAAAATCAAAAGAAAATGTGGGCCTAGAGAGGCAAGCTGAACCATGAAGTCGATCTTCACTCATGATGTTCACTGATCCTGAGGACCTTGTTTTTTATTTCATAGGGTTGTGGGGACGGAGACACAAGTCAAAGTCCAGGGCCTGACCAAGGTGGGAAGGCTACTAGGAGACTTCAGTGACCCATGGATTCACTGCCTCCTCCATCACAGATAAGAAAACCTATTAATAATTTCTCATTCCCTGGTGCTAGTAGCTCTTGCCTGGAAAATCCCATGGACGGAGGAGCCTGGTGGGCTGCAGTCCATGGGGTTGCGAAGAGTCAGACATGACTGAGCGACTTCACTTTCACTTTTCACTTTCATGCATTGGAGAAAGAAATGGCAACCCACTCCAGTGTTCTTGCCTGGAGAATCCCAGGGACGGGGAGCCTGGTGGGCTGCCGTCTATGGGGTCGCACAGAGTCGGACACAACTGAAGTGACTTAGCAGCAGCAGCAACAGTACTAGTAGCAGAGGAAGAAGCCTTTCCTAAGAATTTGGAACCACAAAACAGATCTTCATTTGGGCTTCTATTCCAAATTCATACCAATGGAGTGGTATCAAAGAAACGTCAAGGTAGGACTAGGGTTTAGAATGATCCTGGGTTGGTGGTGCACCCAGATGCCTAGCAGAATCAAAGCAGTCCCACCCTAAAGGAGCCAACCTTAGAGTCAGATGTCACCGCATCCAAGTGCTCCTTGAAAGTGAAAGTAGCTGTCTGCAGAAGCATCAGTGGTTCTCAAGTAGAGGCAGTTTTGCCTCCCACAGGACAACTGGCAACGTCAGCAGGCATTTTTGAATGTCATCACCCAGGGACAGATACTACTGACATCTAGTG